ACTAAAAATAATATTAATTTTCAAACTTGGATAAAAACATCGACTCGTGTGCCAACTATTTACCAACACTAGTGGGGTTAGTATTAATTAAAGTGGAAAATCAACCATGATAACATAATTAATATTTCACATTCACTAACTGCAATATTACATTGAAACTAAAGTTAACAAGAATATTCTAACATGTAAGACATTTGTTGCCCCTTTAACACAATAATTAAATGCGTTTGGTGCTAGGGCGTTTATAACCAGTAAACACCCCCTCCATGTATATCACCCATTAATACCCTGGTTATTGTCGATCACTCAGTGAACCCCTTATCAAAGCCATTGACACCGAAAAATAGCGATACATATGAATGGGTCATACATTTTACTCACATATTAATACACACAGCGATACTGACAATAGATAAACAGGCGGTTAACGTAACGTTATATATAGCGAGTATGGAGTGTATTGTACTGCAGTTACTATACAGTAGTCAATGTAAACAGTGCTGTAATTATCACTGAAAGAGATCTCATTTAGTGATAAACAGGTCTTTTGTCCGCATCGCTGGTCCTGTCGTCGAGTTATCATTGATTATAGTTGTCGTTGTTGTCGATCACTGAACCCATTGTTGTCGTCAAAAGCCATAGACTGTCCGCCAATACACTGATGAGGAAGTGGTGAGTGATATCACTACTCGCGAGTGAAGAGACCACTGGCTGTGAAGTAATGGCCCACCGGATGGACATCGATATGGAGGCGGAGCTGAAGACTGTGTTCGCCTCAGCGATGGTGTGTCTGTCTTGCAATCGGATCCCTTACCACTTATTGACAACACTAATGCTTTGTCTCTATTGTCATTGTCTTAACCCACAGATCCAATTGGACGAAGAGTGCCATCCGATGAGTTCGCTGTCCGACGATTGCTATCGATTCGTTCAAAACGATTTGTACGTCAATTGTTTCCCAATCTTCGACGACCTCCGAAGAAGTCACAAACTGTGCGACATATCTATCAAAGTATAGCACAAAACACACCATTCATTACAACAACCAATCAATTGTTTGTTTCACTCATTGTTGTTGTTGTTTACCAACCAATAGGTGGACAACCAGTCATTTCTGGCCCATCGGGTGGTCCTCTCGGCGACCATACCGTGAGTATACAATTCTATAGTGTTATACCTATACCTGTACTGATAGTCACCCATTAACTGATCCGCAGATACTTCTACGCCATGTTCACGAACGACATGCTGGAGAGCACGCAGACAGAGGTCCGCATTCAGGACAGCATCGAGTCCACGGCGATGGAAGCGCTGCTGGAGTTCGCCTACACGGGCCGCGTGACCATCACCACCGGCAACGTCCAGTCGCTGCTGATCGGCGCCTCATTCCTCCAACTCTTCGCCGTTCGCGACGCGTGTTGTGATTATCTGAAGCTACGGCTCAACACGAATAACGTGTTGGGCGTCAAGTCGTTCGCCGACTCCCTGTCCTGTCATACGCTCGTCGAGGCGTCCAAGAAGTTTATACGCAAACACTTCCGAGAGGTGTCCAAATCGGATGAGTTCTTGTCGCTGGACTTCGCGGAGATAATCGAAATCATCACTAAAGACGAGCTAAACGTCTCGGGCGAAGAGGACGTGTTCAACGCCGTCATGGCGTGGATTAAGCGCGACGTGGACTCCAGGGAACAGCTATTGCCGCAACTGTTGACCAATGTTCGACTGCCGCTGCTGTCGCCCGAATTCGTGGCCGATTACGTGATCACCGAAGAGCTGATCCGTCGGTCGCACTCGTGTCGCGATCTGGTCGACGAGGCGAAGGACTACCATCTGATGCCTCAGCGGAGGCCACTGTTGCAGTCGTTTCGCACTCGTGTCCGCTGTTGTAACGACATTCAGGGCCTGATTTACGCCGTCGGAGGGCTCACGAAGAATGGCGACTCTCTCAGCACTGTTGAGGTCTATAATCCGCAGACCAGTCACTGGAAAATGGCCGAAGCGATGACAATGTTGAGGTCGAGGGTCGGCGTCGCCGTCATGGCCTCCAAACTGTACGCCATCGGCGGTTATAACGTAAGCGATGGATAATTATTTGTCATTATTGTCAATGAATCTGTGGTTTCACTTCCAGGGAAGCGAACGCCTGAGTACTGTCGAAGTGTTTGACCCGAAGAACAGGAGTTGGGCTAAAGTAGCGCCAATGAACTGCAAACGGAGGTAAACTGTCGTCTCTGTTAGTGATGCGTCACTGGTAGTGATAATCACTGGTCATTTGATCCCCGCCTCTATAGCGCTGTCGGTGCGGCCACTCTTCACAACATGCTATACGTTTGCGGCGGTTATGACGGCGTCTCGTCGCTCAGTACCGTCGAGTGCTATTCGCTGGACCGCAACGAGTGGTCAATGGTTACCTCGATGTCCAGACACCGGTCGGCCGCCGGTGTGGTGGCCTTCGAGGGCCAGGTCTACGCTCTCGGCGGTCACGACGGGCTGTCCATATTTGATTCGGTCGAACGCCTGGACCCGCAGTCCGGCAAATGGAGTTTTATGGCACCGATGCGGACAAAGCGGTGCCGTTTAGGTGTGGCCACACTTAAGGGCAAGATCTATGTCTGCGGCGGTTATGACGGCTCGACTTTCTTACAGACGGCCGAAGTGTACGATCCGAAGACCGAAGAGTGGAGTTTCATAGGTATGGCCACTGATTGATGTTTTGTGTCCTCAAATTGATTCGCTTTCTATGTCGACAACAACAGCGCCAATGAATGTAATGCGAAGTCGTGTGGCATTAGTGGCCAACTGTGGACTCCTATACGCCATCGGAGGCTATGGTTTGTTGTGTGGATTGTCTATTGATTTGACAAAATTTAACGCTATCTTTGTCTCCTCTCTTTCAGACGGCGTTTCAAATCTAAGTACTGTTGAGGTCTATAACTTGGAGAAGAATTGCTGGGATTTTACCACTTCTATGGCCGCACACGAAGGAGGGGTTGGCGTATGTGTTGATTATCTGTTGTTTTGTTTCATTAAATCAGTTAATGATTTATTGTTTTCTTATTTGTTCCCTATTTATAGGTCGGAGTTATACCTATTTATTGACCACACATTTACACCTAATTCGGTAAAACTAATCGTAAAATGAATTTCTATATACTTCACCGCAATTATCGTTGAGTCCATTGATTTAATTGTTAATTAAATTATATATAAATATATCTATTATTGTTTGCCATGAATTTATATCTGGGATATTATATGTCAATCCGATTGTGTTTTGATTGTAATGTAAATATGTATTTAAATATATATTAATAATGAGTTTTAGTTGAAAAACGGGTTTAAATCACAAACAGTTTATTATTGATTGCAATGCGATTGCAAAGTGATTATCAAATAATTATCGTTAAACATACAAATTGTTTACCAAACAGTTGTAAAATGTATAAAATAGTGATCAATATTTAACTATACTGTTAGTTATTAAACACAATATAAGGTGTTATTTATTGCAAAACAATGGTTTGAATAAATGGTTTGTAATTAAGAGTATGTTAACAAAAATTGTGAGATATTTAACAAAAGAGAAAAACAAAACAAAGTTTAGTATCAAAAGTAAACTACAAAAACGAGAAGTGATTTGTGTTTTTGAAACAAAACAAATTATAATAAATTAACGATTAATTGTCGACAAAGTTATAATCAAAATGATTTATAAAAAATTAAATGTAAAACAGATATCAATAATGAATTTAATAAATAGTTGGTTATCTCGTCGATGATTAGGTGGTCAGAGAATAACCAAAATGTATTTATATCTATACATTAGATGTCATTAGATTTTGTACACATCAATGGTATGGGCTATGAAGTGATCGGCCGTTAGATTAAATTACATTTTAATTACAACAACAAAAAACACACATTAACTATACGTAAATGTTTTGCAAAACCCAACCGACACGCGTCGGGTCACGCGTAGAGACACTTCACCATAAATTTGTTGACCAAATGCGTGATCTTCTTCTCGAGGACCGGAATCTTCGTGTTCTGATAGCACGACATGACACGCGACTCGTCGGCGTTGGCCGCCATATTGTGGCCGTCGATCACGTGCTGACGACACGCGGCCAACACTTGAGACCGAAACACACTCTGACCGCCGGTGCGGTCGCATAGACTGCAACTGTAGACCAACTCGTATTGCATGTGTTCGTTGAGGTGTTGATGAAAGTCGCGTTCGGCGGCCATCGGTTTCATTGAACCCGAGCGCCGGTTATTGGCGAACACGCGGTCGTTGAACAGAGGCGTCGCGTCGCGGGTCAACACATTGAGACACTTACACACCGGACACCAATCGCCGTACAGTCGGTGCACTTGGCGTTGGACTTTCACTTCGCTGGTGAGTCCGTCGCAGTATTTGACCATTCGGTCGATCCACGACTTCTGCTGTAAGTAACACTTGGCCGGTGTGTGCGACGGGTTGTGTGACATGAATGCGTCCAACGAATCAAACGTCTGGTTCTGCGGACAGTGCGAACACTTGAGCTCCACATTGAGTTCGCGACAGTAATGGTCGACCATTTCGTTTCGGTCGCCGAATGTTTGTTCGCAAAGAATGCAAAAATATTTGTTGACCTGAAAGACAAGTCCCGAAAGGGAGTGAAAAAACCATTAGTTTGAATGCCATTAGAGAGTGAAAGCAATGAGTTATTACAAACCTGTTGTCTGAACGGATCGTCGATGGCCTGATCGGACTCTTCATCCGCCGGTTCGGGCTTAACGTTGAGCGCAAATTCATCGCCCATCGCGTCGTCCGCATCGCTCTCTGCGCCGCCGGACTCTTCATCGGACGTCAACGTCATGTCGACAACAGTAATCTCATTGCCGTCGTTGCCATTGATAGTTGACTGGTTAGGAGGTCGAGAGGCGGCGGCGGTTGCGGTGGTGGTAGCGGCCGCCGAGGGTTCGACATCGTTGTACAGCATCTGATTGAGTCGGCGCTCGTTCTCGAGCTCGGGATTGAGCGCCAAACTGGGGTTCAGGTGCTGTCGAGTGCACGAGTAGTACTTGATTTTGTTGAGATGCGAGAGATCGGCGATCACTTTGGCGTGAATGTCAGTGATATCGGTGGCGGTCTTGTCGTCGATGAACCGCAGGCAACACGCGGTCACTATACGGGCGTTGATAACAAGTTCGCTATTGTCGCTGTTCTCGTCGTTCCGCGTCAGATACGAGGCGTTGGACTCAATGAATTTGATGTCGTATTTGACGGCCGACTGGCGCCGGTAGAAGAGATTGTCCACTCGGGCTTTGATTACGTACAGGTCTATCGGATAGGGCGCGTCGTCCATATACCGGTCCTTCAGGTGGTCGAACGTCATCGACAGTTCGCGCCATTCGTGTAAATCCATGATTTGTGTCAACGCTATCGATGATAACGAGAAGACATTTTCAATCAATAAAACAGTAAAACAATACCACAAATAAGTGATAAAAACAAGACATACCTTTAGATATACGGCTACACTCGTCGCGCTTCCCCCGTCGCGGCCATTCGGCGCTGTCCGACACGTAGAACTCTTGGCGGTCGTCGTCGGTCACCTCCACCGACGAGCGGCGATTGACGGGCAACGGGGCGACCACTTTGTCGAGATCCCAATAACTGAGATTATCGACAGTGTTGTTCGCCCACTGGATCTGAATGCCCTGGAAATAGTTGTTCATATTATGTTCGGTGATGTGTTGCTCACGAATGGTGCCGAACCACCACTTGTCGTCCACAATGGAGCGAAACGTTTGGCCGACAGTCCACTGGACGTCAATACTCTTGACGAACAGCTGTTTGAGTATCAAAAAGTCGATCACATTGTCGATGTCGGTGTACTTAATGGTGAACACGGTGTTGGTCTCGGCCGAGTCGCGTAGGGCCACGAGTGTCAGTCTGACGAGCCGTACGTTCGCGTGCCTCTCGTACCGGATCTCACGCACTTTGGCGAACATGTAGTCCTTGCCCTTCATGTACTTGTTGTGATTGGTCTGCTTATAGAGGTTCAGCGCCCGCACGTGATCGGAGTACAGTCGGTGGCCGTACGGTATGTACGCCACTTCGTCGTCCTTTTGCGGATAGTACGGGAACTTCTTGGGCCGCGTGTGGAGCAGCCAATCGCTGTTCGATGCGGTCGACACCGACGGGCCGGCCATCGCTGTCAGCGAGCAGTGGAATAGAGAGATTCAGGTGATTAATAAGTGGCCAAATATTTATAATTTACATATAATTAGCAAAAAAAACTAAGATTACTATTAAAACACAATTAAAACTACAGTTCAGACTAAATATCAATTGATTATAACAACAATTACGACAACGAAACACACATTTATTGGTACAGAAAAAATCATTTGATAGATAATACACACAGTATTTAATTGTGGATTAAAAATGTAAATTCAAATCACATCTAAAAAAGGCATTAAGTGCTAACATATCCACGAATAGTATTAATTAATGTTTATATTAAAATAAAGTGAAAAACAATGAGATATTTATTGAAAATAATAAAAAACGTGAAAAAAATCTGTATTAAGTGAAGAGATAGAGAAAAATAGCGGAAAAATAATTGCCATTAAATAGTAGTGTATTTTAATAATAATAATAATTACGACAAATTATGTTTGGTTTTAATCACTAAAACGTCTGGAAAAAGCATAAAATATCAGTTAAACACATATTTTTTTCATACAATTAAATGCTATACAAAAACCAAACAAATTTTTTATTCAGAAAACAAATCGTAAAATATGTTATAAGAGAGAAAAAAATAATACTTTTAATTATAATTAAAATACTGTTTAATCAATTAGGATATAACCGATACCTGCGGTGTTCTGTGGCTCCGAGTTGTTGGCAACGGACCCAACGTTTTCCACGTCCGGCGAATGACTAGCTCTGCCGCCGACGGCTGCGGCGGCCGTCGGTTCCCGTCTTTGGACACTGTTTGGCGAGTTCTGCGACCGCTTTCGATTGGCCGCCAGTTTGGCCTCTCTGTCGGGAGTATTGCACGCCATGTGAATCGTCAATAGGCTGTTCTCCTCGTGAGACGACGACGACTGCTGAGACACCCGTCGACCGACGCTTTCGGGCCGACTATTGTTGACGGCCTGAGACGGACGACCATTAATGACTGGAATAGAGCCGTTCGAGTGAGTAATGACAGTAGAGGTAGAGGCAGAAGAGCCGGCAGCTCTCGGGGCCGCTGCCGCCGGCGATGACTTGACCCGTTTTGTATGAGTGTTGCGCTCAAACTCTTCGACATCTGAGTTCCAACCGGTGCTCTCATCGCTACCGTCGGCGCCGCCATTGGCCGTCGGTTTGTTCGTTCGCAACGCCTGTTCCTCCTCTCGGCTGAGACTGATGTTCGGCCGCGAGAGGCGAGACTTATCCGACAGCCGACTCTTGAGCAATGGGTTCCGGTCCGCGATATACCCGTTGGGCGTAATCGTCGCCCTTTGAATCCCATTGGAATCGGCCATCAGTTGGTGGCCCTTANGTTGCTCTTCGGTGAGCGCGAGATTGTGGTCGGCTTTGATGTGCGCCTTGAGATACTTGATGGATGGGAACGACTCGTTGCACACCTGTTGGCCGCCTTTGACCGCTCGGCACGCGTACGGCAAGTAATCCAAGTGTTGGTGCAGATGAACGCTCTGTTGGGTCTTTGACAGCGACTTCAGACCAGATATCGTATATAACGCTGTCTTATGCTTGCATTTCAAGCATCTGTAGAGAGACAGGTCTTCGCCTGTAATAGAAATAATCGTTATTTAAGATTTAGATATAAAATTTCATTTAAAAATATTAAATTAAATAATGTTTCAAATTTCAGGCAAAGATAATCTTTCGCTACGAATAGACATTTGAAATAAAATACAAAAAGTTATACAAAAAACAATTTTTGTAGAAATTAATGGAAAAATTGCTTTTGGTTTTTCACTAGAAATAAAATCAGTTTAACATTACATTTGCCATACAATTCCGTGAGTGATATTAATCTCTCTCAACAGTATCGTCGACACAAAAATCAATTCAATTAATCGTTTCAACAATCAATTAACAATAATTGTATTCAACAAACAATACTATTAACATATTTAACACGAAATTTCACTTTTTAATACATTGAGAAAGAGAAAGATGTTATTCATAATTAATATTCAGTCCAACTCCTCAATAGCTCTCTGTTTTGCTCTCTCTCTCTCTCTCTCTCTCTCTCTCTCTCTCTATGAAATACTTGTTGACCTAATTCTTCAATAATATTCTAATATTCTTTGCCCATAAAGCGATCGATTCTTGAAAAATATCAAAAAGTTCCCCTAAATTCTGTGTCTATTCGTCAAGAAACACAGAAAAATAGTCTATTTATACACAGAAAAAACACATGATATTAAAAACAGGCATAAGAAACACATACATCACATATCGATCGTCAAGTGTTGCACTCATTTAACATTTAATTTTATTTGTAATTCAATCGCAAACTTCACTAAATAGGATAAGTTTATGCAGATATCGATTCATATATACAGGTATACAGTATACACAATACACTGTACACACACTGGCATACATTAATAGCCAGGTATTTGAATAGCAAATACACTATAAACTGTTGGTAACTTTTTCCATATCATTACACATCAAATTAATGGAAAATATTTAGTACAAAAAACTGCAATTTATGTGAATTTTTAATTATCTATAATTACGTTATCAGTAGTTTTATTGTACACATACTGTGCGCCCCCTAAACACCCGCTCCCATCACCACTCGTACGCACAGCACATATACTGTGCGATTGAAATTCAATAATCATTTCAATGACAAATACATACAGAAATATCAATTGTCTCAATCATCAGCCAATTCACACCACAATCACCGGTATATTACTGTCGACACCAAACACCTACTGATCCGATGGGATGTGCGGCCAATAATACGCTACGAGAAGAGCCGTACGATTGAAATCAGAGGTTAGATATCATACGCGCAGACATTGATTATCGACGACAACAACACTGCCATTAAATACAGTAAAACAAGTTTTGATTTGGCGTTTGATTTGCTGCACACATGTTGTATGGCATTGAAAAGTGTAAACTTTTTTTTCCCCCAAACTATTCAAAAAGCTATGCAAACAAACTGTTCATTCAATTGACACCAGTATTTGAAAAACACATTTCCTATGAAAACAACGCATCCGATGACTGTCTGTGAATACAAAACACAGAGTTTTTTCTGCCAATTCATCCGCTTATGCAATGATCAGGCAATCGGATCGACACACACACGCGCTCACGAGGAATAACACAGAGATGGGGACAGACAAGACATTACATACAATTATCATCGCATTATTACCTGAGAAGGGCATCGGTTCCACGCAATCGTAGTGCGAAATTTGCGAACACAGATGACAAGTGACCACCACTTTGTTGGCCTCCACTCCGGAACCGCAAACACACTTACGCTTCTGTTTGTGGCCATCGATGAGATCCAGTTTAAAGCACTCGATTATACGGTCGCAGAGACGGCACCCGACGAGTAGCTCCGGCGACGTGTCATCGGTGGCCGCCGTCGACGACACGATCGGCAATCGGGACGGCGTTTGGCGAAGCGAGCGATTCAACGCCAGCTGATAGGCGGCCAACTTCGCGATCCACGCGTCCGTCTTCTCGTCGACGCGACGGTCAAAGTGTTTGTTGACGATATGGTCGCGCAGTTTGCCTGAAGACTGACCGCCGACTGTCCACTTGTCGTCGCAAAACACGCAAAAGTATAGATTTGTGGCCGACATTGTCTGCGAGGCTCTGATTGGACGCTCGGCAGCGGTCACTGCGATTGGTGGTCAACGCCGGCGCCGCTCGTCAACCAATAAGCAGACCATTTGGTGGTCAACGGATCCGATTCGGTGACAGTCTTCGGGCGCCGATTATCTGCAGAGGAAATCACACGTGAAATGAGTGCTTAGTTTTGAAATCAGCTTTTTTTGGTCAGAAATGATTTGTCTGTTTTTTGTCTAACCTTTTCATTGGTCGACACGAAAAGCGATAATTAAATTACTTTTTATAATTTGCAAAAACACTTAAATAAATGTTTATTTAATAAATAAATAATAAAAAGTTTTGCTTTTAATTAAATATGTATTGAATTTAACGATAAAAACCAAATGTAAACATAAAATACACACAAAATCAATGGGAGATTGTGTTCAAACCTATGGCTGAGTCTGACATCACTTCATATTTAATACATATATTCCCACTTCATATACAATGGGAAGTATTCCCTATAGTGTAGGCTTATTTACACCACAACTGTTGGCAATATTCCCATCAACTTTGGGAATACACTCTATAGGAGTGTAAGTGTGTATTGTTTGATAAATTTCAATGACGTTAAGGCGGGATAATATTACCATAAGTTATGTTTACTATATTTGTGGTCCCCTAATGTACGCAATCCATACAATGTAACGCATTACTCGTCCCAACCCTTACACTAATATATTGACGTAATTTATGTTTAACAGTAATAATTGGTTTAAAGCCCTGTATTTTGTATTTTTGGTTACGAAATGTGCAATGAATTCAAAAAAATTGAAAATCATTGAAAATCAAGTTTTTTTTTATTAACTTTGAGTAAAACGATAGGCGCTATACATATACACTGTTACGTGCGGTGGGTATTAAATGACCATGCACCATTCTAGAACTTATGTAACTATGATATGACATTTAATTGTGTACATGTGTTATATAATTATTAGTTAATATAATGATTATTATTAAATAAATATGTTTAGTCAATGAATAAAATTGTTTGCATCTAGATTATTTGCCCATGGTAAATATGCACGAATAAAATCGATTAGATACAGTAAATACAATTAATGTGATTATCTTTATAATGTGATTATCTTATTAATGTGAGTTCTTTTATATTATCAAATTAGTTTATGCTTGAACCCAGGTGGTTTGTTATAGGTAACGTTAGACACTTCCCTCACCGATTGAATATATTCAGGGAATATATTTTTGGGAGGAAAGATATTTTATCTTCCTGTAAACAGGGAAAATAAGATAAAATGTGGTCAAACGATGACTAGTCGATGGATATAAATAGTTTTGTCTAACTAATAAAGATATACTGTATATGTATCTCAATCTAGTTAAACGTATTATGCCAAGAGATTTTGTTAAATTTAATTTAATGTTTGAATCATTTTTTAAACAAAACTTAAAAAGATGCGAAATATTTGGACATAATTTGCATTTATGAATACATTAATAAATTAGTTCCCTCAACATTTATAACTGCCGGGAAATTCCCATATTTTGAAAAGGAAGATATTGAAAAAACAAAAATCTTCCAATAGTGCCTAACATTAGTTATAGGTTGGGTTGGGGGAAAAGGGGGAAACAAGTGGGGAAAAGCAAATTTAAGGCTGGTTTAGATACAATCAATAAAATATACAATACACAAAGAACTATTCGACCCCCAAAAAACCAAATGAAATATAGAAAATTTCATTTGGACCTTTTGGGGGCCGCCTCCCGCTCACCTCCCATAGTTCTTTTGAGTCGCGACAAAACAGTCGTCACTCAATACCATTAGTCATGTTATTGTGGGTTCATTCTTTTCTGGATATTCTTCGCACCATAAATGCCGTAAATAAATCACATATAAGTTTATTCAACAAAAAATATAGACAATCTGTACATGAGTTGTATTTAACATAATAAATGTGTTAATTTAGTATTGTTTTGTTGATTAAATTAGTTGTTAGTCAGTACTGTATATGTCCTCCAAATGATTGAATCCGTAAACTTATATGTGATTTATTTACGGCATTTATGGTGCGAAGAATATCCAGAAAAGAATGAACCCACAATAACATGACTAATGGTATGTTGGGCACCACACGTTCGCATGGATTTACCCCACATATAAGCCGTCGTATATCGGCAATTAGTATCAAGTGGTGAATAATCCATCTAATGACAAAAGTGAATTAATTTATTGTGTTTTATTAATACTTGGATAACTTTATAGTAAATATATTTCGCACATTGTCGACAAAAATTGTGACAAAAATCATTTAATATGTGATTAATAATCACTTATTACTAATTGAAAAATGGTTTAATGGAAAATATATTAAAATAATGAATCAAACATTACTTGTAATGAAAGTATGTTTTAAAGTTTTGTGAT